ATGGACTGGCATAGGAAACTGCCATTTTGTGCCACCTACTTCCTCCACCTGTTGTTCTATATCACTACCTGCATAGTCTTCTTGAATTTGCCACATAATTCAGCGCTTTTTGTCTTTGTTATATGGGTTTCCTCACATAACCCCTCACCAAGCACTGTGATTGGAAAGTGATGTTGAGTGTCATACCTCAGAGCGCATGTTAGAGCTGCTCATGAACAATCCCATCTCTTTTACCTTATCGTACTACCCTGTTGGAAATATACTAGCTGGCTTTTCCCTGGCTTGTTTTAGATGTCTTAAACTCTCAACTGGTTCAAAATGTTCAGGACCATTCTGCTTCACCCAGAACAGAGTTTGGCCATTTTGCTTTAATCTGGACCTTTTTCAGAATTCAGGATTGGGCTGAAGCCAATGCATTGCTTAGTTTAGATTAATCTGTGCATTATCCTGGAAAAGTCAGTGAATTAAGATAAATTCATTTCTGGTAAAATGAAAGTGAATTTTACTTTATTTAATCTTGTATTGCATTCTAAACATGTAGCAAATGAGCAATGTAAGCCTATGCATGTCTACTTATATCTAAGCTCCATAGACAGTAGTACGACTTAGTGTGTATGGAACTGCAGCCCAATGATGTTACTCAATCTTTTGAAAACTTCAAAGACCACTTTATATTAATACTTTTCCTTAGTAATGCTCACAAGAAAGTAAGTCTTCTTCAGATACTGAAGGTTGAAAGGAATCTGTCTGCAGACATCAGTGGGACACTGGTTGAGTGTTTCTTTTTTTCTGGATTAATATACATTGATATATGTTTACCATAGCCAGCAGTTTCCCACACTGTTTCCATCTGATTGTTAACACAGACTAGGAAATCTTTAATAAAATGACCACAATCCTCTTGCCAAGTTAAGCTGGAATAATGCAAATGGTGTTTACTGTTAGGAGTAAATTGCCTCAAGTTAAGAAAACAGACATTATCTGTTGCACACTAAAGGGATTTCTGAATGCAATGAAATTTAGCTCCCAAGATCACATTGTTCACATTCTATGCTAGACAGTTTTGGCTAGTATTTTAAAAACTACTTTAAATGTTTTCCCATTGGTGGAAAAGTAATGTGCAAGAACTGGAAAACAAACAAACAAATAAACAAAGCCTTCACTTGATATCTCTGTCCAAGCAGATACAGTTTTCATCTAGGTTGTTTTGTGGAAGGAGATAAGAAAGATATAATGGATTCAGGTGTATTTTGTCTCACTTAGTTCAAATGTTCAATTATGCTAATTTCTAATTTTAGCAACATTCACAGAAACTGTTTCAGTTTCTTTGCTGCAAGAGCCTTACCTTTGGGCATCATTCTTGAGTTCAGTCTGTAAAGGCAAAGCAGTACACAGCACTCTACTGTATTTCCATTTGAGTTTTGATTGCACCAAGCAGCTTTTTGTTTACTTGTTTGTTTAATTTTGTGAGTTCTTTTGTCAACTTATTTATTTATTTATTTATTTATTTATTTACTTACTTACTTACTTACTTACTTACTTACTTACTTACGTATACCCCATCTTTCTTCTTAAAAAGGAGTCAAGGCAGCTTACATCATTAAAAGACAACATTTAAAGCTAAAAACAGTGTGTACACCTTACTTACTTACTTACTTACTTACTTACTTACTTACTTACTTACTTACTTACTTACTTACGTATACCCCATCTTTCTTCTTAAAAAGGAGTCAAGGCAGCTTACATCATTAAAAGACAACATTTAAAGCTAAAAACAGTGTGTACACATACTAAAAGCATCAAACGAATACCACACTAAAAGACAGTAAACACAAGCAACATGAAAAGCACATTCAAAGCAGTAGCGCACAACCAACCATCCATTTAAAAAATCCACTAAGGCAGCCAGTCATTGAGGGGAAGCTTATCTGAAGAGCAAGGTCTTTGCCTGTTTGTGGAGGACAGCAAAGACGGGGCCAGCCTGGCCTCCTGTGGGAGGGAGTTATTGGGAAGAGACTGTAAGTCTCAAGCATAAACCTCAATTTTTTTTCCAAATAAAATTCAGGTTTTCATTTATACAGTAATACTCTATAGTTAAGAAAGGAGTGATAGGGAAGAAACACTGCACTGATGAACAGCAAAGTTTGATTTGTTACCTATTCTTGCCAGGCAGCTTTGTAGTTTCTTTCCACTGTCCCATCAATGCATTTTAGGTAAAAGAAAAAGATAAAGGGGAAAGCAGCTAAACTTCATAAGAGAGCTTTGAATGAGGATTTTTCAGTACAAAGGGGGTGAAATTGCACTATATGCAAAAGCTGGAATGGTTCACTAGACTTTCAAGACTTTTTGCATCAAGCATGCCAGTGCAGTCTTTTTATTTTAATATGAAACTGTAGTAAGGATCATTGCACTAATGCATGAGGATTTGTGATAATGTTGCAGAAATTTTACTATCAAAACTGAACTGCAGCGTAATGACTTTTGTTATCATGGTTTCTAATAGCCATTCAGCATGAATTGACCCTACATATGTTTTTGTACACCAGTATGTCCATTGCCTGGAAAATCAAAAATAGAGACAACCAACAAATCATTCCAAAATTCTTACAATATGGGTACTATCATGATAATGGATATAATCATAACTGTCAAGACTGGATTGTGTAGTCCTTTCCCTTGGTATTACATGTTCCCTTTTCACTCTTCCTCTCTTTCTCTTCATCTATAGCCTCTGTCTTCCTCCCTCCTAGCTGCATCTCCTAGCTCACACAGCAACTCACATCCTTTCATCCATTTTTTGCCATTTTTTGCTGATTCCAGCCACAACACTTACTGTTCTGTCATCTTCATGTGATCTACCATCTCTATATTGGTATTAATCCCATGTACCAACCAAGAATATAAAAACACCATGCTATAGGTGAGTACAAACAGTGAGATGCCGTTCATCTCAAACTAATATGAAAAAATTCAAATATTATGTTTGATAATAGGAATGTAAAAATTATATTTTGATCATGTTTTTTTTTTAAGGACAATAACTATGTACTTAGCAAAAGGAGAACATGAGAGTGATTTTCTCCCAGAACATTCATGTCACTGTGATGTATACGTGCAGTACAGGAACTAAAAAAATCATTACAGTGATACTCCTACAAAATTGATTTTCTGATGCAGCTGTAAGTCACTTATTAGCAAAAATCTGAAGAAAAATACACCTTTTAATAGGAGCAGTATATAACCAATTTCTTTCCTTGTTTTATTATAATTAGTATAAATATTCTTTATGTGATGATTTTGTATACGTATATAAATTCATTAGATTATATATATTCAAATATTTAGCTGACTTTGTAATTTTCCAATTTAGAGCCTTACATGGCTTAGTTTGTATACCCTATGGGAAATAACAAGAATGTACACCAACAATGTAGACATTTCTTTCAATTTTTACAGTTACACTTAATATTTTCCCCAGACTAATCATGATTCTTACATGAAGTAATTTTAAAAATTATAAAACATGTGAATTTACAGATGTGTACATGCACACACACACACACACACGAGACTAATATGATTCTTACATGAAGTAATTTAAAAAATTATAAAACATGTGAATTTACACATGCGTACATGCACATACACACACACACACACACACACACATGCATGCATACACATACATATACCAGCTTCCCCCAATAACTCTATAGATTTGTGCACACAAAGAATGCGATTAGCATAAGTCCTGTTTAGATGGCTTTCATACCTCTGGTCTGTTACATCTTTAGTTTTTTTCCTGATCAATTTTCATTGATTTTTTTTTTGTTTTGCAGTTATGCAGTGGTGATATCCACATGTAATCTGATCTTATTAAAAGCCTTGACAGCCCTTTGGCATCTTGGACCCATTATGAACAGCAAGCCTAACAAATCAAAGAATGTCTTTATATGGTGCTTGGTCCAGAAAGCTATTTCTGGAATATGTGAGGGCTTCCATGAGTACAGCAGGCCTTCTGATCTTTCATTTTTTAGCAGCATCCCCTCATGCTGTATTGTAGTCTGCTTCTGAAATATTCAGAGCATAAGGCTGCTGCTAAGAAGTGTCAGAAGCTGCACTTCCTGCATAGATCCTGTCATATGGTCTTCTGTATTCCTACCAGAGTTGCAACAAAGTCATGCATATGATAGAAACATCCATAATTCCATGTTGGACACCTCTTCCAGTAACTGCACATTAATAGGGGGAAGTAGTCACATGCAAGCTGATTTCTGTGCATTAATTTGGTAGTGAGGATTGATCGATATTATTTGAAAACAGCTCTGGGATGCCATTTAATAGCTTTAAAATGGAAGGAAAAAGGTGTGATTTGCATGGAGACGTTTTGAACATAGCAACAAAGAGCATACATTTCCATATCTCATGTCACCCACAGATTTTCCCCGACCTTCTTGTATGTTATTACAAAGAAAAGTGGATCACTATTGCTGATTATCTGACCAGACTAGGTACCTTGTTGCTGGATAAGACTGGGGAATCTATTTATTTGTGCAAGTGATTCTCTATCCAGAGCCATCTACTTTTCTTTTACAGTAATATGTTAGTTCATCAGACCAGAGAATTTGTCTTGCTTTGACCAACCTTCCCTTGCCACATCACTACTGCCATGAAAAGTTTAAAGTAAAGAATGATCTGTATAATAAGGAACACTACGGAAGATGAATTAAGCATACAACTTAAACGATGAAAGGGGATGACTAAAATATGAATATCACTTAGCATTTTCATAGTATAGGAGTGGTATGAAAATAAAGAGAAAAAGAAAAAATGGTAGCAAAGAATCAAAAATGTAAAGGAGCAAAAGTGGGAAATACATGGGTAAAAAATAAAATCTGCATGCCAGGATTTTCACAATTGATTTCCAAAGTTATTAAATATTATAATTAATAGCAAACAGAAAATAAACAATTAAGAAGTTGAATATTTTACTAACATACCTGCTGTTGATCTGTTAATGCTGCTTCAGCCCTGACTTTATGATCATAGAAATCCATAAGCTCATTTTTGTTAGTAAGATAACATATCTGGAGCATTTGATATTCCTGTGCTAAACGTAGATTTTCATCCAGTGCCTCTTCCAGAGCAATCTAGAAAGAGAAATGTCTGATCACCAGTGTAAACTATTTTTGAAAGTAACAATTACATTTCCAAACTTCTCAATCATGTCTATCTTCATGTGACACATACTTGGTATTCCTGTGTTGCACTGTATATACATATTTTATAATGCTTCAAAGCAATGATTTAAAGAAAAAGCTGGTATGGGAAAAGGGGGAAGATCATTTTTATACACCAATATATATTTATTCTGTTTATCAAATTGCTGTGAAGCAACTATCAAAGCTGGACAACAATATCAAGGCCTAGCAAGGAGAACAGGCTTCTTCAGATGCTTTTGATGCCCATCACAATACTCTTTCTCTGAGCAGTCATAATGGAGGTGTTTCATGCCATGCATTCCCATCAGGGGACCCCAGTCCTCTGGAACAAAGTGGAATAGAGATAAACATGACCTGCGATAATCGAAAATGAGTTGGAGTGATGTATATTTTGCTCATAATTCACATGGCTGAGGACGCCAGCTGTCCCTGCAATGACTTCTAAGGAAAATGTGCCCTCCCCCAGAAAGGCCACTGTAATATGTTAACTACTTTCCCCAAAGCTGGATGCCTTGCTATAGCTGTGTTCAGACGCTAATCTTACGTACTTAATATTCTAGGTACCAAGGTTTTCTTTTTAAAATACATCCAAGTATTTGGGGGCAGGAACCTTTTAATTTGCATTTTAAGGAACTGCTGTCCAGATTTGGTGCAGTGTCCTGGAAAACTCCTGATTTGAAGTTTACTACATTGCAAGGCAGGGTCATGTACAGCAGTGTCTAACTGTGCATTACATGGTTGGAAAGGAATTTGGGACAGTATAGCAAGATTGCTGTGAGTCTGTTCTGCCTGTGTGCTCATTGCTGCAACCTAAGCATTTCTAAACAATATTTCTAAACAAATGCATTATTACACCGAGACCACAACTCTTTAGGACCATCGCTAGAGAAGAAAAATTACCATGTAAGTAAAGGCTAATCTGAATTTCACATGGTTAAGCTAAGGTGAAGTAAAAATGGATATCAATAAGTAATTTGTTTTTTTTTGGTAAGTGATTTGAATAAACCAGTACTTTAAATTTTAAAATACCAATTCATCTTTTCTCTTCAAGAACAATGTTTCAGTTGGATAGAAACATCAGGAAGACTGGGAATGGGAATCAATTCTTCTTCCTTATTAGGAGCACATTCCCAACCTGAATCTCTGTTGGGTTGATGCTTTTGAGAGAAGCCTAAAGAGATAGGAGACCAGATCAAAGCTGTCCATCGTCATGTCTATTTCTCATCCTGTGACTGACAATAAACAGAGTGCAAATATTGAAGAAAGAAAGCATTTGAATATCGTTTGGAATAATATAGGACATTTAGGTTGAGGTGCCTAAATGGTTTCTATTATAAAGGTGACATTTAATACGAAAAAGTAATTAACGTTTCTATGGAGATCACAATTCTACCAAATAATTGAATGCTAGGAATAATATGGAATTTGCAAAGAGTAAAGGTCAAAATTTTAATTGCAAACAGGAAAGGTAGATGAAGTTTTCAAGAAATTAATATACTCCAGATACATAACTGGAAATAGAAACGGAAATACATAATTAAAAAGTTAATAAAAGAGGATTTGAAATTTATGATAATCTGTTGCTTTTCTTTAAGATCTTTAAGAGATTTTCATACAGCTGACAGGAACACCTATAAGCAAGAAAGCAAGAGTTGCAATTGTATACATAGTTTAGGAGTAAGTCTAGTCAAATGTGATGTGCATAGTGCGTGTTAGCTTTGGACTGTATCATTATCATAAGGCAGTTACTAGGAAAGGAAACATTAGCTTGTAGAAGATTCAAGGTGCAGTTTACACCTTTGAGAATGAAAGTTGCTCAGTATTGTTGTTTTTATGTTGACATGCCAGACTCACATCTTCTATCTAATTGTGACAGGGTTTTTTCCCTGCACTTTTTTTCAGAGGGAGGAAAGAGCATCAGAGCAATGCATAATAATCAGACTGGAGGTCATTGAAGAGCTTGTTGCTCAAGAAAAGTTGAAGGAGTCTGAGTGATGGTTGGAGCACATCTGTATTAGACCCAGTCTACCTTCAAAACCACTATTTGATAAGTTTGTTTTAAATCAGGTTACTTGCTTTTCTGTACTACTTGCCTCTTCAGTAACTCCCAAGTTTCTCCAAGAATACATAGGCATGTTTTAGATAGATTCTCAGTTTATATAGAAGGTCCTTGCTTTTACTAGGTGTAAATGAAATACAAGTTTTTTTAAGCTGCACATGGCTTGGGGTAAATTGTTAGAAGACACCAAAATGTGTTTCTGGGGAAAGCTGCTTTCCATTGAAATCCATAAGCACCAGCAGAACTTCAACAAAAAAGAGGAAAGTTTGAAACTCAACAAAACTTGCCTTCTAGCCCTGAAAAATACAGCGTGCAAAAGGTCAACAAACTCTACCCAGCCACAAGGACTGGGGATCACTACACACAAAAGACCAGCTAATGACACCCATCAATCACAGTGACAGATAATCTCTTCTCCTTATCACAACAATACACCCACAACAAGACACACTAATCACCCATCTCCTGAATAGGACAAAAACCTACCTCACAACTATAAATACTCCACTCCCATGCAAACTACACCAGAGCACAGAGTGCAGTCCTCTGAATATGCCAGCCACAGAGACTGGCAAAACGTTAGGAAGAACAACCTTCAGAACACGGCCAAAGAGCCCGAAAAACCCACAACAACCATTAGATCCCGGCCGTGAAAGCCTTCACGAATACACTGCTTTCCATAATTGTTTTTTTCATTCAGAGCACTTCCTTTGCAATAGAGATATACAGTAACTTCATTACATGATCACTGAAATATGACATGGGATAATGTGTGAAACTATTTTTGTTACATCTATAGCTACTGGGAATTATAGTACATAAATCTATGTTAAAACATAGGTTCATTTTATAATTATATGACATGTGTGCCCTTCCTACTTAGGTAGAACCCTGTTAACAAAAAAGGTAACTGTTTTATTACTTTTGGATAATAAAGCAGAGTTGCTTTTAAAATTGTAACTATGTAACTATTTTGTGCAGTCCTTGGAACCGAATGTGCAGTTATTAGATTTTTAAATGTAAGTCCCGACGCTATGATCACAACACCATTTGAGAAAAAATAGATTAAAGGACTTTTGTTGCTACAGGACAAATATTATTTCTATCCAGGAATGGTTGTAGCTGGTGGCTCAGTCAAAGCTGATCCTGGGCTCTCTATGCCACTGAGCTCACATGAGCCTCCCAATGACAAAGATGAATCTAGATTGCCCCCAAACTACACACCTGCTCCTTCAGAAGTAGTACAGCTCCATCCAGAACAGGTGTCCTGCCCATCTACCAGACCTCGGAATCATGACCACTACGTTACTGATATCTTAATTTAACAACATTCAACTACGGATCTACACACTTAGTTATACTTTCCTCACACTTGCACAGTTCATTATTGCTGTCGTCAGTCCTCAGTATCTACAAGTGTATGCACACTATACAGTTATAGCACCTTGATACCATTTTAACTTCCATGACTTCATCATATCAGGTCCTTTTATTTTAGCCTACATATTCTCCTGAACATTGTAACTGTAAGTACTGAAATTTGGAAGTACTTTTGCAGATCTCCAAAGCCTTGCATTTTATAGGATGCAATTATGGCAATAAGTTTAGTATCAAACTACTAGAACTGTGAGGTGTAGATACATCCTATCTCCCCACCTTTGCAATCATTTGCACTGTACAATTCCGAATGGCACTTCCTTCCTCTTTCTCATAGCCAATCTCCAACCATATGCAAATTCACTTTCTGGCAATCATTCCAAACTCGTCAACCACAAAGCACAGGAGTACAAACATATACCCAACTCTCTGGAATGACTTACTTATCACATCAACATATTGTAAACAGACACAAATTCATATTATGTTGCTTTATTATATTGCAGTAAAATCACAGCTGTTTTGAATCATGTCTGTTTGGCCTATGATTTTTTGGCATGGGAAATCTGAAGAACTACAAATTGAGATGGCAACTTACACAGTTTTACATGACTGTACAAATTACTACAGTGTAATTAGTTACAGTGGGGTCTTGACTTGAGAACTTAATCCGTATTGGAAGGCGGTTCTCAAGTCAAAAAGTCTGTAAGTCAAGTCTCCATTGACCTACAGTGCATTGAAAAGGCTGTACAAATTACTACAGTGTAATTAGCTACATGAAAAAAAATCTGTCATGGGAAAGAGTTTCCAGGAGCAGCTTGATTTTTTTTCCATACAAAGTTCTGGAGCAAGATGCTAGGGGAGGAAATCAAAGATTCCAGATGTGGAATACCTCTTTATATTGCAGTGAATGTGTTGTAAAGAAATATTTTAGGAGATAGTATTATAATGATTGCTTAAATTAATTAATATTGTAATCTAATCTTAGAATAACAATTCATTACAGGTATAAAGGTATGTTTTCCAGAAAATCATTTTCTAACTTTCTATCATGTGAAAGAGTTTCCAGGAGCAGCTTGATTTTTTTTCCATACAAAGTTCTGGAGCAAGATGCTAGGGGAGGAAATCAAAGATTCCAGATGTGGAATACCTCTTTATATTGCAGTGAATGTGTTGTAAAGAAATATTTTAGGAGATAGTATTATAATGATTGCTTAAATTAATTAATATTGTAATCTAATCTTAGAATAACAATTCATTACAGGTATAAAGGTATGTTTTCCAGAAAATCATTTTCTAACTTAAATTAAGACAATGACCAATAATTAATTTTCTTTCTTACAAAGAAAAAAAACCCTCATCCCTGTGGGAGGATTATTTTCTGTACAATCTCCTAGAATGTCAAGGTCTGCTAGCATTCTAAGGATTGCTATCTTTGTATTTTCATTTTCCAAAGTGGAAAAACACATAAAATTAATTAGAACATACCTAA